GTCTCAATATGCACCAGAAGCAGGATCAGTAGCAGAGTCAACCACTGTCTTTATTTAATTTAGAGGCTCTGTCTTTGCGTATAAGTGTATACATGGGTATTGTACGTACCGAAAAAAAGAATAGACAGACGAACAGACAGACAGACAGACAGACAGACAGACACACAGACAAACAGACAGACACACAGACAGACAGACAGACAGACAGACAGACAGACAGACAGACAGACAGACAGACAGACAGACAGACAGACCTAGCTTCCTAAGGGGGGGGGGGGGACGACCGCATATCACTGTTCTTGCAATTGATATGTGCACAAACGTCAAGCATTCACACAAACACCCCCTCCCCACCATATATATATATATATATATATATATATATATATATATATATATATATATATATATATATATATATATATATATATATATATACATATACACGCACACAAACACACGAGCGCTCAAACACAAACATAATATTATGAATATAGATCTACATACACTTATACAAACACACCCAAAAGCACAAAAGCATGCGTACACACCCTCGAAACAGTCACATGCCAACATGTAAACACACATTATATATCCCTCAAGTGCCGCCATTCTCATCCGTCTACATACACAATAAAATATGTACATGTATATTCTATACTGTTTAGTATACCCATATTACATCAGGTACAAAACATCCTGCACACACAAGCAATAAGCAAACACATACAAATGCACACACGAGGGCACCCACGCTTCCTAACTGCCCCGCAATTCAGTCTCAAAACACGTCTTCGTTCGCCTCCTTGCACGCAATGCTTAGCCGCTAGAGCTACGGTGTCAAATCGATCATCGATAACGTGGCAAACCGATCGACGCTTTATCGATCGACGAACTGTTATTTGTCGCCTGAAGATTTCTTTTCGGGGCAGGCTTGTGTGCTTCGTACCTGCTGTTCGTGTATGTGTAGGCCTATGGTTGACATTCCCAGGCTGAAATTAGAATCTAGCTGTGTAGATTAATGTGGGCTTGGCTTCGGCACTCCATGCCTCAGGTTCAGCCACAGCTCGTATAAACACAGACAGACACACAGACACACAGACACACACACGCAGAAAAACAAACACACACAAAGACACACACAAAGACAAACACACACACACACACACACACGGGCACACACACACACGGGCACACACACACACGCACAAATACACACACACTTACACACATGCACGGGCACTTACACTGGCACACACACACGCGCACCCGCGCGCTCGCACACACACACACATACACTGGCACATACTCACATACACACACACACAAACAACTATACGCACTGCCGCACATATCCATGCACATGCAGGTATCCCCACATACACACATACAAAAAGATACATACACACATACACTCATACAAACTCATGCACACACATGCTCTCTCTCTCTCTCTCTCTCTCTCTCTCTCTCTCTCTCTCTCTCTCTCTCTTCCCACCACGCGCATACTGCGAGAAGAAGACAAAGGAGAAGGGAGAGAGGGAGATCGAGAGGAATAGCAGAATAAAGGAAGAGAAAGAGAAAGAATGAGGGAGAGAGAGAATGAGAAAATGCAAGTGTGATTGTGTCACTGTGTTTGTTGTACTAGTTTGCGTTTATATTTATGTGTGAGTAGGTGTGGAAGAGATCGAAAGAAAAGAGAGAGAGAGAGAGAGAGAGAGAGAGAGAGAGAGAGAGAGAGAGAGAGAGAGAGAGAGAGAGAGAGAGAGAGAGAGAGAGAGAGAGAGAGAGAGAGAGAGAGAGAGAGAGAACTGAAAATTAAACGTGTTGTGAACGGATAAATTAATTCCACATATACGCTTGTGAGACCAACATCCACCTCACTCTATTCTATACTCTTATTTTATTCCACATGAGCGGAATATTAATAAATACGTCTATACCTTTAAGGGTCAGAACGAAAAATGAATAAAGTTATTTTAGTTATTACCTTCGTGCTTTTGTAGTTAGCCCGGGCGGTCCTTCGACCATTTCTGTAATTCGACTTTCGATCTCAGAATCTAAAGGACCACGAACAGATTGATGTTACTGTGGTGCAAACGTTCCATTCCCTCTCCGGAACCGCGTCATTCTTTTTTCCTTATCACGATCGTGCCCACCCCACTCTTCATGCAAGTGCCATAGTCTGAAATGTACTGTGTGGAATGCCAATAACTTTCTGTATTAGTTTCTCAGCACTTTTACTGTGTGTCTTGGCAATAGACTTCGCTTCCTCAGAATTATAAAGTACTATCTGCTCAGCCGGCCTATCTAGTTTTGAGAAATTTGACGTAAAAGATTTTGACTTTCACATCATCACAAGCTTTTTCAAATGCAATTCTTTGAATATCTTGGTAATGAATAATCTTACGATTTCGATAGAGCGATATAATATTTTGATTTTTGATCTCACGGTCTTAGTAACTCAAAACAGCCAGGCCAAAAATGTCAGATAGAACGTTGTGATTCGGAGGTAGCTTAATATTAACTTACTGAGGACGTCGTGCAGTCTGGCCATTCGATTCGCTATTTGGGGCCACTGTTGAAAAGAAGCATAAACAAAATTTTCAATTCTGTTTGTTGTTGTTGTTGTTTGTTGTTTTTTTTGGGGGGGGGGCAAAACCATAATGCAGGTAACAACATGGATACTAAAATATTATGTTTGAAAAATTGTGCTTCTGACTTATTGAATATTGTGCAAAATGTGCTGCGACATTGCCTGTGGTCTCCTGTATGGATATAATGTGTGTTATGTACTCAAAGCGTTTTTCCCCCAGGCTAAATCCTTTCAGATTGACGCCATCTAATTAGTATGATATTGTACAGGTTGTATCAATAAATTAGCTACAATAGTCAAATCAAGGTTATGACAAGGTTAGTTTTGTAGTTGTACACGGTTACTTTTTCTTGTAACGATACATTTCCTCATTAGAGACTGTCTGATATCCCACACGTTAAGATAGGATCACGACAGTAATTAGAAGGCCCTCAAAGAGTGAACAGTACAAGCCAATGTCTGCTCTATTAAACGTTAAGGCAGGCTTTGGTCTCAGCTGATACCAGGTACAGTACGTAAGTAAACGAAAGTCCAACACCCCTCCCTTACCCCACAGCCTGTGTCCGGGACACACTGTTTCCTTGTTTCCTGACGCCTCAGGCTGAACTTTATCAGCTCTAAGAGGGTCTTGCTTTCACCATGTCAACACGGACAGTCCACCCTCTCTGTCCGCAAACACAACTACATGGAAACATTTACCTTGAGCAATGATAGTGTTGCGCTGGGGCAATCGAACGCCCCGCTGTTATGAGTAGAATTATTGTTAGCACTTCTGAAAAGTGCACACACACACACACACATACACACACACACGCACACACGCACGCACACACACACAC